TATTTTGCGTGAAATCTTCATAGTGTTTTTGTCTTGTAAGGAGTACCCCAAAATTGGGGATAACAAATTATTGTGTTCGCTTTGGGACATAATAATATCATTTTTTAAGGCGTTGTGTGTCAACTATATCAGTATTAATTCAAATGCGGAGTAAAACAAAAAATACTTGGTATCACTTATTATTTTATTAAAAGATCCGAATATCGACCCATTTTTAGGACTTTCTGGAGTGACTGAAGTAATTTTGGGTAAATTGTCATTCAGTAAGCAGGTATTGAGAAACCAATAAGGACACTTTATGTTTCTACTATATAATTTCAACGATGTAGTGATATGACATTTAGAAATCTCACTACAACTAATTCACCTGCACGCACCTCAATAGAATTCATTGATTAGTGACTTAATAATAACATTAATCTTAGTTGGAAGTTCCTAATAGAATTAATTAATTGCATACTAACAAGTTAGTGTACAGTGTTATTTGGAGCACATATTACGTTCTCCTCAATAACAGTACACGCACGGTTCACGTTAATATCCCCCAACTATTAGAAAGGCCGTCATACTTGAAACAATATTATTCAAATTCAAAATAATATATCTTATGTTTGGTCCTTTCGTACTAAAACATTCAATCGATTTAAACAATTACCCTCAGAAATGCTTTATCGTAAAGGATGACCAAGAGAAACTGCAAAATTGAAATATTGCACCAGAATTATGGTAATTTTAAATTCTTTTTTGTATACGCAAATTTATATTTATATTACAAATTTCCTGAATATTGAAAATATGGTCGATAGGTATTTTCATACGATTAGGGTGTGTCGTACATCGTCGTATTCGTAACAAAAATGCTACTCAATACAGTACGTACTTTTTTTACGGGCCATATAAAAAAATAAAGTTGATGATGACTTCTCCGAAACGAAACGTCGAGTTTATCAGCAACTTTACGATAAGATTTTTGGGACTGTTTCCCAAGGCAGTGAGGCAATAAAGCAAGACACTTTACACACTGGTTGATTCATATCTTACACGTTTCAATGGTTACTGATCCAATTTCTTTTAATTTCGAGGTTATTATTGTTTTCTACTCTGAAATTCCATGCGTATTAAAATTGAGGGACGTTTTATTTGTCTTTGTGGTTTTACGGTCGAGTGCTGAAAATGTAAGTTTCATATTTCACTGTAAAAAAACGGACGGTACTCAATTGACGTTTTTTTACTGCAGTTAATTTTCAGTGTAAAAGTAGTAAAATGCATTCGTAATATCCTGCAATGGTCCCAACACTTTGTAAGGGAATTGACAGTAAGTAATTCCTTCGTATCATTCAAAGTGTTTTCCAAGGAGTATCAGTGTGGGGGAGTATTTCAGATTTTGATGTGGAGGTAATCGAGGAACGGGAAGTGACCAATTTGGTTCCTTCTACACACGATTCGGAACGGTTTTTGCTTGTGTTATACAATAAGTGGTCGTATTATACATATTGCATAATCATAAACCATGCAGCAAATGCACCAAGTACGAATATAAACGAAAGTTGTCTTGTTTTTAAAACCTGAATAAGTTGCTTTTTTTCATTGGTCCGGTTCTACCTCGGGTTCTACCATTGGAGTTCCTCAACAATTTTGAGATTTTGTAGCCATCAATTAATTTTTGGCCTTGTATTATCGGATTCCTGTGTAATAGCTTAAATGTGCTCTAGTTAGATGTACTATTGTACAGAAAATTGTCTTGTTGTCCCAAAGCGGTCAAAATCGATATTTATTGGCCAATTGTATTGCGCAAAGGACCATAATGGTTCATATGCTTTTTTGGTGCACAGTAACCGTGAGATGAGCTAGCAAATCGAATAAGAAATTAAGCAATCGTAGACTAATTTAATTCTTTCTCGTTTTCTTTTCCTAAGTAAACAGGAAAGTAAGGCGTTTATGATGTGATTATGTTACTTTGTGCATCACCATTGTAAAATGTAATTCATAACTTTTTACAAACGAAATTCATTGCATTTTGTTTCAAATTTTAGACTAATTAAGATTATTAATGCTTTTTGTATTATAAATGGCGGCCGCCATACTTTCAATAAATCACAAATTTGAGAAGGGGGTGGAATGATTTCAACTACCTACATTACACAGATTAGTACCTTTAAAAAATTCACTTTTACTGATTTTGATTTTATTACGTAATGTTTAGATTTCCTATATCTGTAATGGTTTAAGATTTCATACTTAATTAAACACTTAACTATTTATTTAACGTTTGCTGTTAATTAACATGTATATTACATATTCTTAATTAATATGTCAAGTAGGTACTTTACGGAAAAATAATCTTTTCGTTGATTCTCGCTTAGTTTGACATCTTTGACTGCTCGTCGGCTTGATGCAGTTAAATATTTGTGTAGCTCGTTGCGTGTATGCTTGAGAGAGTGAGGCAACCCTGTTTAGTTTTTGTGGTCGACCTATCGAATAGAAATTTCTAATTAAACGAGCGCACGTTCATTGAAAAGTTTATCAATAATTTCGTCTGAACTGAACAGATGACCATAATACCTAATTTCCAATTCTGACTACAACCCCTAACACTATGTTAGGCTTCACATTGAACATGACCACAACGGCACAGTACCCAAAAACTTGGTCGTAACCCCCAATGACACCAGTATTTACAATCACTCTTTATGACGCGACGCCTAAAAACCAATCTTGACTATAATCGCAAATTTTAAAACGTGCAACTTGACTGCAACCCCTAATTGTTCCATTGATTATAAACACCCAAATGTTATTTCTTTGGGAATCCATTTTTCCTTCTCTAACTCGAAACCCCAATGTTATCACAACTGCTGCTCTCGTAGGGTTACCATCTCAAAACTCTGCCAACTAGGACAGGAAGCGTGAAAACCCCGGATTTAGGGGTTATAAACCCGGACATATCAACTGAATTTGATAAAAAAAATTGTCTAAAGAGATAGTCTTTGAAATTGTACTTTATTTTTATCACTGACTAGACTGTTTCAATATTCAATAAATTCCTTTCTTTAGTTCACTGTTATGCCACTAGTGAAAATATCCTTTCAACGTTGGCATTATGAGCAGGAATGCAAAAAAAGCACAAGGCAATTTTCAATAACTCCAAATATAAATGAGGATTCGGTGTTTTAAAAAATTGTAACCAAATCTGATTGGCGCTTAAAAGTTTATCTTGTTGGCTTGAATTTTGACAGAAACTCATAGATGTCTCAGTAGACTAAAACCCGGATTCCCAATGAAACCCCGCCCGGACGCTCCCCGGACACCCCCTAAACTAGGACAAATCCGGGGAAGCCCGAGGCGCCATATTGGCAAAGAGGTGCACTTTTTCAGTTTTTTGCCTATACATATCTCGGTAATTACCTATTACGGATACGGAAAAATAGTTTAGTTAAAAACCCCTTTTGGGCCGGCCCTGTTCACCTGCAGACAATTGGGTTTCAGACAATGCTATACCTACTGCGTGTGGTAAGTAACGATTTTAATTGGAAAGAAAAGATAAATTCTTACAGATATAAAAAATACCAGCACAATTTTCAATAAATGTAATGATTTGGCATTCATTCATAATCTTTACAGGTCTTTGATGTCGGATTATAGCTGAAGTATTGGACGTCGAAAAAAATGTGCTTTTTTGTAGGCAATTTAATTAACTATGTTTTTTATCCTAACTATTTTTCCGTATCAGTAATAGTTTATAGGCAAAAATCTGAAAAAGTGCACCTTTTATTCCAAGATGGCGACAAGAGCGCAAGAGATTTTGACGGGAACTTTTAGTATGTCCAATGGGAAACAGCAATAAACCAAAAAATTCAGATTTTTACCGATTAATGTATTTATTTTTTCTAATTTTACTGTAGTAATTCTCTATATATAAAAATTTTTAACTGAAACTTTTGCTCTCGGACTGGTTTGTTCTGAAAAATTCTCTCTGCAATACTTCGGCCCCGAGATAATAGTCTCTATACAGCCTTCTCTTGGAATTCTGATACTCCGAATACTTATTCGTCATAAAAAAATTCAACCCTCTCCTGGAGCATTCGTCCAAGGAAACCAGCCACAGAAATCCATCCTAAGCTCATCTATCAGCTCCATGATAAATCCACTAATAATATTTTCTTTTTTAAAATGCACCCCCGAAATGATATCCCTTAAAATTCTTCACCGGAATATTTCAGCCAAGAAATTTCACCCTGTAGTAGCCTTATATAGGTTGTTGTATGGAGCAACAACACTAAAATCAGTTCTTGGAATATTGGCTATAGGGAAACCTCCTGGAAATAATGGATTTTCGAAATGTACGCTCTCGAAACGCGTTCTTTGAATATTTGCGCCTTTTAAACGAAATTTCAAGTTGCGTTTGTCCATTTGTTGGTGTTTTTGAATGAACGGATCAGAAACGCCTAACCTTCGACCATCTACAATAGGCAACGGGGACTAAACGCTTTTAGCATCTTTGCTTGATTTGCGTTTCTAAATATAATTAATTAATTATATTTCCGGTCTGCGACTCCTGGCGTCGTTTCCTTGTAAATATTTTCATTTGTTAGTACCGTGAATGTTTGTATTACATCATCGACCAAAGTACGACACGCTGCTTTGGTCGTTTTGGACCTGCAATCTTAAGCTTACTTTTCAATAAACCACGTTAACCGGAAGATTTTTATAAACAATCCGAAGGTTGGTCTCGACGAACAATTCGTAGCAAATTAATTGTATAATCGCCAGAAATTCCACATTCTCAAATTTTATTGTGGATATACATTGACAAATTAATGTAATTACCTTGTTCATTATTAATGTTTCAATGAATTTTTACTTAAAAATTCTATTTTGTTAATACGCAATGCCGATGAACTGCATAATTAATTAAATATTGTGACAAATAAATGAGTGAACAGTGGTGGACGCCTGTGTCTTCTTACACTTGAATATTGATTTCTAGGTCGCATGATCAAAGATTCTTCACAAGGTTCAATTTATAAAATTATGTTAAATTTATTAAATAGCAAGGTACGGGGTTGTCCTTGCCGAAAGGATGTCATCAAGCGGGAGGATTTATATAAATACAAACGTATTTGGAGCTTATGATAATGTAGTTGTTTTTACGGTGGTAGCACTATGAAATTCTGTCTGGTAAGTTACACTCGCGTTTTTAGGGTAGTGGTTACCTACTTCTAACTTTTTAGCTGGTGACACTTGTGATAGGTACGTGCTTGGCACGTCCTGACGTTTCGCATTTGCCTAATGTGTATCTCCCAAGTCAGACTGCCAACGTGAGAAATCCAGTATTAGACACCCGAGCTGATGGGGGTGGGCCTGGAGTCGTCTTAGTAACTCCAAAAGGTGATGGTGGAATTTCCGATTCTATTTTTTCTATCGGAGGTGAAGGAAGTACTACGCCGGTACCTGAATACAATTTGGACAATTCCGGAACTGGGTTTTCTCAAAGCATTTTTAATATCGGTCCATCCAGCCCGGCTCCTAGTGCTTCAAGTGGCGGCGATCTGTCCGGTTCTGCCGCCGTTCCCCAAGGTGCATCCCGTCTTCCCACTGGAAGTTACCTCCCTGACTCCGGTATCAAGGTCATCGGGTCTGAATCCAGCGGTGGTGACGGCAGTTACATTGGCTTACCGGGTAGCGGCGGTGGGCAACAAGCAGGATCGGACCGAAGCGTATACTTCTTCGCCATTCCCGACGACGAGACTCAATCTCGTCTTCGAATTAACATCCTCCCATCGACCCATTCGAGCAACCGGGTAATCTTCATCAAGGCGCCAAGCTATGCGCCTCCAATTCCCGAAGTGATTTCGGCGCCTTCCACATCAGACGAAAAAACAGTCATCTACGTGCTTTCGAAGAAACCACAGCCGGCCTCTCCCATCAGCATCCCCGCCTCGGCAATTGTTAAGCAGACCAAACCTCAAATCTTCTTCATCAAGTACGGTTCCAGAGCAGAGGCAGAGAACGCGATTGCAAGCGGACTTAAGGGCAATCTCGTTGGCGGCGGACTGCAAGATCTCCAAAATGAGCAATCGTTTATCAAAGCTATACAAGAAATGAAGGGCGGAATTAAAGGTACATTCGGACCGGCTGGCCAAAGTGGACCATACTTTTAAAGGGAGCTAATTTGATCGTGCCTGTACATACCAGGGGTATATTTTCCATTAATTTACCACCTTATTTATATATTTCCTTTCTTTATACTTTCGGAGGTTGTGACACAATAAAACACTCTATTACCATATCTTCTTATTTTTCTTTTACGTGCACATTTATATTTTAGTTCTAAGTATATCATAAAAGAGCGTTTATGTGTATTCTAATTTTTTCTTACATCGCTTTCACCTCGAAAGCTCAATTCGCATTATGAAAGATATTTTTCTAAAAGCTTCAAAAGAGATGCACCTAAGACAATGAAAGTGGTACGTATTAATACATTTTTTTTAATGAAAAAAAAAACAACAGCTGCAAATAAAACAACACAAAAAGACACTACGCCAAATCGTGATGACAGATTGGATTTTTAGCGTAACACAACGAAGTTGAGGTAAAGCTTATGTGCTCGTGTTTCCGTCCGTCCGTCCGTCCGTCCGTCCGTTCCATCGAGATCTCGGCCCCTGGGCCACCTAGAGACTTCGCGTTTTCGCTAATTGATAGCTGTTATGGTCTATATTTGCCCATTTCGATCAGTTTCATTTAACTCCATATTTTGCGCAGACTGCGCAATGCCAACTTTCATATTTATAGGGATATTTCTCTGAAATTTTAACCACAGACCCTTCTAGTAAAGATAAACATTTCGCGCATAGTAAAAATTATGTGGGCATGCGCAGTGACTGCGCAATGCCAACTTTCTTATTTATGGAAATATTGCTTTGAAATTTTAACCTCAGACGCTTCTAGTAAAGGCAAACATTTCGCGCATAGTAAAAATAATGTGTGGGCATGCGCAGTGATGTGTGGGCATACTGCGCAATGCCAAATTTCTTATTTATGGAGATATTTCTTTGAAATTTTAACCACAGACGCTTCTAGTAAAGGTAAACATTTCGCATATGGTAAAAACTATGTGTGGGCATGCGCAGTGACTGCGCAATGCCAACTTTCTCATTTATAGAGATATTTCTTTGAAATTTGAACCACAGATGCTTCTAGTAAAGGCAAACATTTCGCACATAGTAAAAATTATGTGGAGGCATGCGCAGTGACTGCGCAATGGCAACTTTCGCATTTATATAGATATTTCTTTGCAATTTTAATCACAGATTCTCCTAGAAAAGGCAAACATTTCACACACAGTAAAAATTATGTGTTGGCATTGCGCAGTGCATGCGCCGTAACTGCACAATTGCCAACTTTCTTATGTATGGGGATATTTCTTTGGAATTTGAACCACAGCTGCTTCTAGTAAAGGCAAACATTTCGCACATGGTAAAAATTATGTGTGGGCATGCGCAGTGACTGCGCAATGCCAACTTTCTTATTTATGGAGATATTTCTTTGAAACTTTATTTTACTTATTTAACTCCTCTCTTTCTCTGGACGTGGACGTGCTTCAATATGCAGATTCGACATTTTGTGTGCTTTCGATGGCAACGCATCGTTTCAATACTTTGTGTTACGCGGCAATACCCACGAGTGGGTTTTGGAACATTTTTAATATTGTGATGGAACCGAATTTGCCCGCTAAAATTCGATTTAAATATTCCCGAAACCGACCCTGGCGCGACGAAAAAAGTCAAGATTGCGCTTTGTTTCGTTTCCGTGGAACACGGGTTTTTAGCGTAACAAAACGAAGTTGAGGTAAAGCTTATGTGCTCGTGTTTCCGTCCGTCCGTCCGTCCGTTCCATCGAGATCTCGGCCCCTGGGCCACCTAGAGACTTCGCGTTTTCGCTAATTGATAGCTGTTATGGTCTATATTTGCCCAATTCGATCAGTTTCATTTAACTCCATATTTTGCGCAAACTGCGCAATGCCAACTTTCATATTTATGGGGATATTTCTTTGAAATTTTAACCACAGACGCGTCTAGTAAAGGCAAACATTTCGCACATAGTAAAAATTATGTGGGCATACGCAGTGACTGCGCAATGTCAACTTTCTTATTTATGGAGATATTGCTTTGAAATTTTAACCACAGACGCTTCTAGTAAAGGCAAACATTTCGCACATAGTAAAAATAATGTGTGGGCATGCGCAGTGATGTGTGGGCATACTGCGCAATGCCAAATTTCTTATTTGTGGAGATATTTCTTTGAAATTTTAACCACAGGCGCTTCTAGTAAAGGTAAACATTTCGCACATAGTAAAAATTATGTGGGCATGCGCAGTGACTGCGCAATGCTAACTTTCTTATTTATGGAGATATTTCTTTGAAATTTTAACCACAGGCGCTTCTAGTAAAGGGAAACATTTCGCACATAGTAAAAATTATGTGGGCATACGCAGTGACTGCACAGGCTGCTCATAGCCAACTTTCTTATGTATGGTAATATTTCTTTGAAACTTTATAACTTATAACTCCTCTCTTTCTCTGGACGTGGATGTGCTTCAATATGCAGATTCGACATTTTGTGTGCTTTTGGTGACGATGCGTCGTTTCAATACTTTGTGTTACGCGGCAATACCCACGAGTGGGTTTTGGAACATTTTTTTATCTAAACACTCAATTTGGAATATCGTACGGTTTTCTTTTAAAACTCTTTGTAGTCAAATATCGCCTCCAAATATCCTCCGCGGAACTGGTGTATGGGAACCTTTATGCCTTTCCGAAGAGATGATCAGCCCTCCTACTCACCAGCAAGTACCGACACGACAACCTTCGACAAATTATGTCACGCAACGCCTACTTCTCGCTACACTAAATCGTCGGTTTTTGTGTTTAGAGACCTGTTCTCTTGGTAACTATCTGTTAATAAATTGTTGTTAAATGGGCGTACGCAAGGCATTTGCCATTTTCGAATCGCTTGCAAAAGCGTATCAGCTCTCAAGACCATTTAAGGGAATATCTGTTTCAAATTTCAACTAAATCCATTTTGAGTAAGTGGCAGAAAGAGGCACACATATTTTCTCTAAATCGAGTATTGTTGTCTGTACATCAGACTGTAGCCTATACAGATACACGGTGTCCCAAGGAAAATCTGCACCCCCCTAAAAGTCGGCAAAATAATTGTTTTGACAAAAATAAAACAATCTGTTTGTTTTTATATCGAGGGGGCGCGTTTTATACACAGGTCATTCTGCCCACTCGAACTCCTTGCTAGAGGTTGCTCTTGCTACCCCTACAAAATTTTCAATGAGATGATGGATCAAATAACTACCCAACCGTTTTTAATCTATTAAAATCATCAATTATAGTCACCGAGAGTATGCATTTGCAAATACGCATTAATGCATATTCGTGAGTTACGAAAAAAAAGGGTAACACGAAAAGACCATCATTTAATTTCTAATTAATTGAATGATCGTTAGTTTCTCAAGCATTTTACGGGTATGTACGTTGACAGAAGCGGGATTTACGTAGGTATCTGCAAGGTCATTTGATTTCCCCGGAGAAATCCCAGGACACGATCTTGCACCCAAAACAAGGTCACTCCTTAGTTACATTACCGGAAAATCTCATTCTCCAAGGCCACGAATTTGCAACACCAAACAAGGTCGCTCGTTAGTTACGTCTTTGTTTTTCCTAATTTCGATTTCTATTTCCTGCTAGTATTCAGCCGTCTAAAGACGCGTTAACACGTACATCTGTACATCCTTCCGCGGGTAAATATTTTTTGTGAACTGTAAGTACAGAACCTTTTTTATTTCGCTTGAATGGTTTGGTTTTTTTTTTCTTTGTAAAATTTGAAATGCATAATTTGTCATTTTTCGCTTAGCTTAGGTTTGCAATATGTATACTCTCTTTTTCTCCGCCGCTCCTTTTAATTCGCGTGACAGAATTAATTAATTGATAAAAATCAAAATTAAATTAAATTAATGAAATCCGCGAAACCGCCAATATATTCGATCAATCAGAGGACGAGTCCGCGAATTCTTTCCACCGATTAAATCAAATTTAAAACCGCAAATGACCCGTAAATTTTATCTAATTGCAACCTTAAAATTTTGCGTTCTACATTATTGGTACAGGAACAATCATCCAGTTTTTAATTCATTTAAAATCTTTCTGTCTCTCTATTAATTATCTTATTTTATCGTACGTTTGAGATAGCCTGAACTGTAGGTATATTTAGGGGTATTAAAGGGCATTTAAAAGTTTTTGAGAGGCTACAATCAAGTGATTATTTACGGCCCTTAATTAGTTCTTCTTGGCCTTTATTATTCTTTAAAGGTTTAAAGGCTGTTAACATTTTTAATAGACGTTAAGTCTGTAAGACCCTTCAAGAGTGTTTCAAAGTTCTAAGTGCTCCCAAGAACAGACAACATTCTCGAAGACTCACCAAGAGTATTTTTAATGCTTTAGGATTTTTCATCTTTTCGGCTGCATCCTTTCACTTAATTTCATGGAACGTTAATTAAATGGGGTAGGACGAAAATCCTCCAGTGTCGCGGAAAGTGATGTAGAAGAATCTATAAAAAATAAGATGGAATTCGTGCAGTTCCAAGTAATTTTGAAGTGGGAACTCTTCCCCAAAATTCCCAAATGAAGTGACCAAATATTCAATTACAACTTTAATTGAAAAAACCAAATTCCTGTCGTTTTTAATAATTATTCTTCAAATTGTTGTATAACATTCAAATAGCCCTCTATTTTCTGCTCATATTTTGTGCATGCTTTTTTTCTAAATAGAGAGTTGTTATGAAATTTCATTTAACGTAAGGATTAGAGTATGAATATTTGATCTAACAGGTCTATTCCTGTCAGTTCTTATAAGATAAGATGTCCCAAACGCGCGATCCTGCAAAATAGCTATTTATGATATGAGTGTTAAAAGTAATGTTTTACTTTGTGAGTGAAAAAGTTTGCGAAACGAGCGAAGCGAGTGGAGCAATTTCACGAACTAAGTAATACTTACTTTTAACACGAATACCATACAACATTTTTTGTATAACTGCTCCTTAATTCTTCTCTAAGAACTGCTCCCTTTGGATAATAAAATAGATCACATGCTGGCGTCATTTGTCATACCTATGTTAATTAATTTCTGACGTTTCAGTAATTATTATCAGATTGGCTGTGAAGTGACTGTATTAGGACACGCCGAATCACCTTAGTTACCA